ATTTAATAATTGTATTTTATGCTGTGCTATTTATGTTTTTATTGGTTTTAAATTGTTGGGTTGTGAACCGCCCAGAGTCCCTCCTTGTGGGGGAGTTGGGTGGTATATAAATTTGATTGATTGATAGATAGATAGATAGATAGATAGATAGATAGATAGATAGATAGATAAATAATCACAGCAGTGCAGGCTTCTAAGGGGGCCAAACTCTACCTTATTTATTATTAGCACTGTTTCTTTCAACCCAAGTTTTCTGATCAAGTAATCTGCCCATCTGGTTTGGACATCTAGAAAGGGCCCTCTGAGGTTCATGGGGGGTGGGTCAGGTGGCAGAGCTCCTTTGTGGTGGCCCCACTTAACAGATCTCCTTACTCCCAGAACAGGCAGCCCCAACCCTCCTAACTTGGGGATGCAAATTAAATCAATGCTACTCCAGTAGGCTTTTGGCCATGAATTTTGGTATCATTGTAGTTAGTTGTTTGTTATTACTGTAACTGTTTTGAGTCTTCCTGCAACACTGTATGCCGCCCAGAGCCTATATGGATTCGGCAGCTTAACAATATTGTTAAACATAACAAATACACAAACAGGTAACTCCAACCAAATTGTGGTGAACATTGGTTGGTTTGCTCCAAGAGTTTCTTGTGACTGCTTAGAAGCAAGGCCAAGGGAGAGTAAAACTTGCCTCTTTCTATCATTTAGGGACTGGATATGATTGAGCCTATAACCTATTCCCTACCTGAACTTGATACAGCTTATCTCTGGCAACAAAACCAGGATAGAAGACACACTACCCTTTCTTAGTCTTCATGGCTAAAGCAACATTTGAACCCAGTAAGTGACTCTAGCTAAGTCTGTTAGCTTGGCCACCTTGTCCTTACAATCAACAGCATCTTTTCCTTGGCTTCCTATCGGACCCTGAAGATCCAAAATCCAGCCAAAAGGGCACTTCTTGGTGCCAGATCCAACATGAGCAACAAGCTGATAGATGAGCTTCATATTAAGAAGGGGACCCAGGCTTTCTGTACCATTCCCAAGCAGTTCTGAAAAAATTGGGAGCTTTGTTCCATTTTAACAAAATTAGGTTGAGAGAAATGAATTTGCTTGGAGGCAAACCAAGGCAAATGAATTTGCTTGGAGGCAAACTTGCAGACTTGAAAGGGAGAAGAGAAGGTATTTTGAAAAGGATGCCCTGCTCTAGCCTTTAAACCATACTTGAAGAACATGAGAAAGTACCTTGCTAAGCCCATCAAAAGCAGCATTCAGCTCCTGGCACCCAGATCTTTTGTGTCCTTGTGTCCTTTGGACTCTGTAGGCTAGAACTGTCAACCTAAAACCCCAAAGTTGCCCCAAATGCTTGAGTGCAGTCCTTCCAAAGCCCCAGGACCACCCAGGTTCCCACCAAATGTGACTGAAGGGAAGCATGAGTAAAATACATGGGGAATAATTGTATTTACAGGAATTCAATTGTAATTCAGTTGACATGGAACTAGAAGTCTTGTCTTGACCGTTGTCTTTTCTGTCCTGGCCCAAACCCCTATTGCAATTGGCTTCCTGCAGATTATTTGGAGACCAAATTTGGCCAACTGGACTGAAAAATCTTTCTGTTAGGATACCAATAAAGAATGTGGATAGGATCGAGGCACAATGGTGCAATAGAATCTACAGCATATTTATTTGGAAATCACTACCATTATACTCCTACAAGGAAAAGCTAAGTGACTTAAAAAAAAATGCTTACAGCAGTGTTGCAAAGATATAAGGGGGCTCCTTCACTAGAGTGTGAATTCAGCCCTGCAGCTCCTTAGGGACAAACTGATTTATTACAGCGTAAGCTTTTGCAAATTCTCATCGCTTTCCTGTACATCTGAGGGCATTAGCTGCCACAAGATGTGTGGAAGGCCGCAGACTTATGAGGCTTTAAAAAGAGATTAAATAACTTCATAAAAGTAGAGAAGAGGTCTAGGAACACAAGAGTAGGTGAACAGAACCTCCAGCTATCTGAAGCTAGGAGAGAAGGCCGTTAACCCCAAGGAAAATACTGTATGAGCATGAGTCTGCTGGCCCTAGGAGGAAATAAAGGCACAAGTTTATCCTGTGCCAGAAAAGCCCTTTTACAGTATTTAACACTCTCCAAAAGAGATTACAACCAAGATGAATTGGGGAGAATTTGGAGCCAGGCAACTAAGGTCTACATTATGTCATCTAGGCCTTAAAGCTCTTGGTTGTTCCTCTCCCTCCCTCCACCATAAAAAATCCCACAAAGCCCCAGAATACTTTGTAAGCACCCTCACCCCACCCCACCCCAACACTCTTATTATTCATTCATATTTGGGCTGCTCAGGTTGAGAAGAAGGAAATAGATGCAGAAACACACCCCAGATTGAAAATCAAGTTCCTTCTTGCAGGGTGATCAAGAGTCTGGCATATTTCACGAGGAAAGAATTTTGTATTTGCTTAGACCGCATAGCACCTTCCCAGTAAATGGGCATGGAGGGGATTGGTTTAAGGTACCCAAGACTGTGGTTATTCCCCAAAGGATATTTGCCCCCCTCCCCATTTCATCAGATTTGCAGCGAACTGTGAAAGTTAGGAAACAACAATGGATGTTGCTGTTGCTGTTGTTACTTAGCTTTTTGTTTTGTTTTATGTTGTTGTTTTATTATTATTATTATTATTATTATTATTATTATTATTATTATTATTATTATTATTATTGTGTTTGCATGCTCAAGCAAGACATACACAGGCGTTACTTTATGGTCTTTGTTTCTAATAAAAAATGCTCCCCTTGCAGTCATCATTTCACACCTCAGCAAAGGGGGGGGGGAGGAGTTTTGCAAAAATGTCACTCGGCAGCCTGTATCAACAGACAAATTACACCTCATGCATTACCCATTTCTCCTGTTCCTCCCCCCACCGCCCGGAGTAAACGGTGGGGAGGGGGGAAGCCCAGCGGCCACGAAATTGGAGAGTTTTGGAAGGAACAACTCCGCCAGTGTGAAGTTACGCTCCCCTCCCCCAACGAAAACAAGCATGTAGGAATTTGCAAAGAAGGATCTGCCAGAAACACTGTGAAAAAGCAGTGGGGGAATTCATTGGAAACAGATGGCGTTTTTCAGCTGCGATTCTGAAAATTCACTCCTTTTCCGACATCGTAAAAACAAACTG